GACAATTCGACGACGACGACAACGCGATCTTGACATTCCGTCGAACGACCTTATAGATTACGAGGAGTTTTAAAAATGCACGAGACGATTAATGAAAGATGCATGAACAACGATTACCTTCACCACTAAAAGTTTGTTTAATAAGATTAGAGAACTAGAAAATTATTAGAGAACTACCCGATCAAATTTACCCGATTATTAATCTCATTAAACGCAAACTGACTGTCCTCGTATCAGCGAGTACGTCTCGACAAATGACACCGAAGCTGATATATCGAAGAACCACATAAGGTGTAGACCTTCAAGTAGCACTCGTTCAGGATGCATAACGCGGGACCGCGGCGTTGATGTTATTCCGCTGTCTTTCTCCGCGAAGACACTGAGCCGGAGACGACCCTGACAACACGTGCATGCGTCGTTCGCGTTTATATCGAGCGCTGCAATTGCGTCCGTCGCCGAGAGCTGCACCTGGCAGCGCCCACGAAAAAACAGATTAAACGATTCGTCTTCCCCGCTCTCCCTGCGACCGGATTCGCGTCGCGTAAAGCTCTCGCATTGCGCCAGTTGCATCCGCGACGTTAGGTGCATGTGCGGTGTGTTTGACTGTTTCCCGCCATGTGTCGTTGGGAACGAGATATAAGAAATGTCGCGCACCCTCGGCGAATCTCAAACATCTGTGTCGTGTGAGTGAGCGTGAGGAGTTGTTCGAGGCTGTCGGCGAGGGCAGGGATAAGAGCGAAAAACCTTCGGCACCAAGGTAGCGTTGTCTCAAACAAGGCGATCGATTTATCATAATTCTTTTTTTTTTTTCACAATTTATCATCTTATCTATTTATCTTTTATTTGTGCTATTCCGGCCGGATGAACGGAATCACAATCGAACAAACTAGTAAAGCGAATGAAAAGACCTTCGTAGATAAAAATAGAAATCTCAAATATTGAACAAAAACAAGTAACAAGAAGTTTCAAGTTATAGAAGACCATTATAATCTTCATGCATACTTCATGCAATTTAGGTTTTGTCGTAAGATGACAGAGTACAAAATACTTGTTTAAAACGCGTGTCAAAACTAACATCCGCAGCGTAGGTAGATAATCTCGTTGTATCTTTTTATGCGCTACTTCATATTATGACGCATCGTCCGACATGAAGAAGTATCACATGATGAGCAGCATGTTACACTTCATCCAATTTCGCGTGTTGTTCTTTGTTAATTAGGTATATTACTACGTTGTGCTACCAATTTTTTTTTTATTAGTTTTTATCATATACGTAAAATTTATGAAAATGCATCACATAATATTTTACACAAATTTCAAAATAAAAACTAAATGAATCCACATTTTTGACAGTGCAAATAATTATAATAATTATAATATTTACCGAAATTGAATTAAAATTTTATTGATGCAAGAATTTCGATCAAGAATCATAATATCAAAAAGATTACAATTTATATAAGTATATTTCGTATATACTGTCTCATTTATGTCATAACGCAAATTAAATTTTAGAGTTAATAGCATTGGTTTAATATTATAATTATTTCCGTATTCTGTGTAACCCTTTTACAATTTGATTTTAATTTACGTAACAATCGTCGGAATTCAACATTTATTTATAAGAATATTAAAAACAATTAAATTAATAAAAAAACTTGATAAACTTGATAATATTGATTGATAAAAAAAACTTGGTGAAAGATACTCGATACTAAATATTTAATAAAAGATAAAAACTTGATAAAATATTTTATCAATATTTGTAAATTAAAAACTTGTAAATAAAATTTTAATTATAATGGCATAAAAATTATGTGGCATAATAAATAACTTTTCTTTCTTTTGCTTGTATATATACGTTCATACATATATTCTTCTTGTATATTTTGTTATCCAAGTAGTTATTTTCAATTAATTTGGAAATTACCTCTTCGTGCTGTGAAGACAGTAGTAAATTTGATCATTCTTGCTGCCATTTATCTATCAGCCACATTATCATCGTTGTTATTATCAATATTAGCTTCCATATAATCATAGATTCTTGTGCGTGAGAAATTCGCCGGCATTATTCCAACAGAAGTGCATAGAGCACGTGCAAAACTTCATTCTGCGAAAGCAATTGCTCACATCCCAGAATCAAATCGCGGTTCGCATGGTAATCCAGCCGCTATTGCGAGTGTGAATGCGGAATACCGATAGAATTGCGACTGTGACAGTTATACGATCGATATATGAATATAAATGTAATATGAATGATTGTACACCAGCGTCTATCTTTATTCCTCCAAGACTTACGTTCTAGATAATAATACTAAGATCAAACTTTTGTTTGCAAAGTGTATTATTTATACATGATCTGCCATCTATTCAAAATTTGTCCGATCTATTAATCACAATTTGAAAGAATCATAGATCCGAAGAAAAAAAGTTAAACATTTTATGCATCGATGTGGAATGGAAAATTAGAGGATATATATTAATGGTTAATTTTTGGACTTTTCTTCAAATTAAATACTTTCTTCGTTGGTCAGAATTAAATTTTAATTAATTATATGTATTCTACTTTTTGGCGATAATTTTTATACATTTTGTTATGAAATTAAATCTATTTAACATTAAAATTGCTCTAATAATCGTTGGTATACGTGAGACCAGAGGAATCAAGAATGTCGCAAAAGGAAATTAGTAAATGTCTCAGAGGAAGAAGATGATTACACAGGGCAAGATGAAGATATCATAATAGACAACTATATTATTATATTAATTTCTTTGAAATTAAACAACAGTGATTAATTCCAATTAAAAAAAAGATTCTGTAAAATTCTAAAAGTTTAAATATTAAACGGAAAATATTAAACGGAAATGGTAATTAAAAAAAATATAATGTTATATCATTAATTACGCGTATAATGTTACGTCATAATAATGAAATATGTAAATATGATATCTGAATTATGTCTGAAAACAAGATGTAATCCTATCAAATTGCTTTTATAGATTGATTAAATCCATTTTCTTCTTTCTGCTGAAACATCACGTTTAGATTACTCATATTCTCGTCTATTATCGTTTTTTGTTTCTCAATCAATTCGTATTCAATTTTATCGCTGTTCAATTTGATTGAACATAAGTCTTCGAAACTTTTTTTACATCTATCTCAAATTTTTGTCATTTTCGCGTGGAGTTATAAAAGACTCTTAAAAGATCATTTGTCAACTACAAATATCAAGCAATTTTATGTATTTATTTTACTATTGAAAAAAGGTTATCGGATTTTTACATAATAATAGAGAGAATTAAGAGATATAGAATGAATAACGTGTAGAATGAAATGATATCTACTATAGTACAATTTTTATTAATACTATCATATCAGTTAAACAAGAAATAATCGATGGAATGAACAAATAAGAATGAACTGATAAGACTTATAATTCCGAATGGAAGAACACGTGTAATAAAAACAAATGCTATTGTAACATAAAAGTATTTATTTAATAGAAAATTGAAATACTTTTAATACAAATATTTATTTTTTATATATATACGTATCATATTTATATCATATTATTTGTTAATATATACAATCTTTTATAGATGTCTTTATTAACTTTATTCAAGAATAATTGTATTAACATTGTTAATGTTATACATCAATTATATATTATCACGTTTTTTCAGTGATTATGTCAAAATGTTAATAATAATTAAATTATTATAAACATAAATTTATTTTGCAAACAAAATACTATTGTATTTTTATTAAGTTAATAAGTATGCTTTAATAAATATTGCATGCATAAATAAGATATAAAGTCAATACCAAGATTTTGTATTAATTTAATTAAATAAAATAATTTGATTAAAAAATATAATTATTTAGAGATATCATTTTACTATTTTTAACAGATTGATTGAGAAATCACTGATACGAAAATCGTAGTCGAGCTAATTTAACACAAAATGTGCTAAATTCATCTTCGTTACTGAGCGAAAGCTTGAGGATGTCGAAATTTATATATCTTTCGCAAGGACAGTAAAACGCGTAAAAGCTAGTTTGCAAACGCAGACAGATACAATGCCACAAATACGAGATGAAAATGTATATTCATAGATATAGATATATTGGTGTCAAGAAATTATTTAATCATAATTATTATAATTAATTATGTAAAATGGAATGGTAATATAATTCGAGAGTTACATAAGTTCCAATTAAATTGTCAAGACGAGATTAAATTTTTACTAAGCAAAAGATAATCAAATTAAAGGAAATTAAATTAAAATCAAGAAGTTTGCATGTTTTGACCTATTACTGTTAATTATTATTATAGTTTATCATTATATCTAAATTTTTTTTATATATAATGACAAATTAAAATATTCACGTTCTTAAATACATATTTAGAATAGAAATAAACAACGTTAGAAGCTAAATAGAGTAAATGTATAATAAGGAGAACTGAAATGAATAAGATGAAACTTTAATAGCATGAAAGTGGAAGGAGAAAAAAATGAGGAGGAAGCAATCGCGTGCGAAGTGACTCTTACCGAGGAAGCTTAATTATTATTAATTGGTGTCAGTAGTTGCGGACGATCATGAACAGACGCCCACAAAATATTTCACGTCGATGTACGCTCGTGTGCACACATTTGGCACCTTTCTCCGAGACGAATAGACAACTTTCCGCGTACATATTAATCGAGTGAGACTACGACTATAAAGTGAACAGCAAAATTCGAATCGGTTTTTATGAATAAAATATCGGTCGGGTTGTTCTCACTAAGGGAAAATTTATCGTCGGAAGCACGTTCCGCGGAAATGGAACAAAGTCACGGACAAACGAATCCGATGATATTTCTGCCCGGTTGGAAACTCATTAATGCGTTAATAATAGAAACCTGCGTCCATTGACGTAGTTATTGCATACAGAGAATCGCCGTCGTCATCGACATTGCGATAATTAAATCGAACGCTTATAATCTATTTCCACCAGGCCGTGGATGCAGCCAAGAACTGGCAGTGGCGGGGCCCATCCGGGTGGGACAGGTGACGATGAGGCCCCGAAAGATCCGGGCGCGCGGATTACTCATCAATCTTACACGGAGAAGGATTATGAAGGTAAGAAATATTCATCGAATTTCTAAAATTAATTTATTTTTGTTAGTTTTTGCAAATTTTTTTAAAACTAGCAAAAATTAACACTAACTGTAATTAACCTTTTCCACTTATATAAGAAGGTCTATAAGCAAGTCGAAAATTTTCTGAATTAATTTGGCTTAATTTAAATCAATTAAATAATTTGTCTTGCAATTGATCTTTAATCTCATGACATTTTATCGATATCTGTCGTGATAATTTATGTATATGTAAACTTTCGAAAATATTTATCTTACTTAGTGTATTTTTAATTATTTGATTATAAAATTTATTAAAGAATTCTTTTTATTTATATCTGATTTAATTTTAAATAATTTAAATAAATTTGACGAACAAATAGTTAAATGTTATATGTGAAATGAATAGAAAGTTTTTATGATTTAAATTTAAATTTAAATATAACAGTACGTCGAGAATATTCTGGGAAAAAATGGTTGACATTAAAGGCGATAAGTTGAAGTTTTATATACAGTAAAATATAGAATTGTCAATTCACTGATGTCGATTGATTATATTTAACTTATCGAAAATCCACGTGCTATTTTTGGAGGCTACCATTGTGTGTATACGTGTAAGATATTTGATGAATTTTTCGTTCATCGTTCGATTCCGATGGAGAACATTAGATTTATGCATAAATGCATAAATCTTTTACCGGTGATATGAAACCACATTTGCGCGATGCGTTACCAAGATGATGTGAAAGAAAAGATTTTAGCTGGCAAAGAGCGACGTGAGAAATTCTCATATGTGGATAACTATTTCGACAATTTTTGACACGAACTCATTTTCACGGAATCGCGGATATTTTATAAGCAAATGGACACGAGAGACGAACTTCTGTTTGAAATATCGGGCATTGTCTACGAGCAATAACGTGCCTACATCTACTATAGGTCAGGCTGATACGAATCTGGCTTCAGTGTTTGCTCACACGACGGACCTCGTTCGTGTAGGTGCTTCGAAAATCGTTACTTCGTTAAACAACACCGGCAATGGACTTGCGACGAGGTCACCTCGTATCGACGACGAAACGTGCGAATAGAGGCCGTACATGTTGTGACGATCTTGTAAACGCTGGACTTTCCACCGAAACAAATTGACCATCTACTGTTCCTTCGGTCGATATGATACGAAGCGAAGGAAAACGTGTTGAAACTGTCGTTAAAAATAAACCTCTCCTTTGAATCATTAATTCACAATGGTTAGCCCCCTAATATAGCCTATAATATAAACAAAAACAGGATATAATTAACAATAATTATAATTATACAAATATATATACTGTTTGTATTGTATATTTAATATACAAACGTTTACAATTAATACTATTTTTATACTGTATACCATAATATTGAAGTTTAATTGTGTACATATATGTATCTATAAGTACAAACATGTATTCTCGACAATCTGTGACAATATAAACATATCTACGTCCATCTATTTAATTATCATTAATTAACATATATTTGTCTCTCTTTGACGTAATAATAATGCGTTAGATGATAGTTTACTAATGAAAGCAATTACATAAACCTCTACATATTTACGAAGCTTGAGATAATGATTGTATTTGTTAATTTATATCATGTTAAAAGGTACTTTTTATATCATGTTAAAAGGTTGTTAATATCGTTATTAATATTGGAAAAGTGCGAATACTATGCCGTTCCCATACTTATATCATCTTCATACAAAGTTCATCCGTTCATTACTACAAAATCGGCGTGAACCTTATTGACCTTTTCATCTATGTGGACTTAGCATACGATCTACCGTTTGAACTATAACCCACGCGTAATTTAATCCTATCTAAAAAGATACACGAGAATCCCTTTGCTGCTTGTAGAAGCTACTTTTCGCGCGTGCACGTTTTCGCAGGATTACGCGATCAAATGACGTCGACCTAATTTTCTTTCGTATGGCGAAAGAAAAGCCTCCGTACACTTTCATCGGGGAAAATCGCGATAAATCCGCGCATCTTCCCCATGGCGGGCATTTCGAGAGAAACTGTGTGTGACGAGACATCCCTTTCATCTGCTTCCAGGTCACAGGGCGCACACGGTATACGTGGGTGTGCATTTGCCAGGGGAAAGGAGGCACCGCCGGCACCATAAACACCATCATTCACAACGGCAGTCGTACCCCTGTGGTAAGGAGGACATCGACAGCGATAGACCGAGTAAGTTAATTCTTTAGTTTCTTCTTTCCGTGCCCTAACAAGTTGTGGTCGTCCAATAATGATGTCGTGTCGTGCGACACTTCGACTCTGTTCAAACAGCGTCCTGAACAGTGACAAAGTATCAGTACGTAATGAGTAACGAACGAATTAATGTAGATGTAATAATTTTTAAGTAGGCTTTAAATGTCCCTTTTGATATTAATTTCTAATGTTAACTCAGTCATCTTTGAACGTGTCATGAATAAAATGTCGTTTTAATCGAAAATATATTTTGCATTAATACATGTTTCGTTTAATTAATCTTTAAATATGTTGTATAATTTATTCGCTATATATATTTGTACGTTGTTTGATACGATAATTTTCGATATATGTTTTTTAATGATATACTACTAGTTTTGTCGATGTATTGTTTGATTGCTATTGTATTCCTGTCAATAAACGGATGTTTCAAATTCTGCGGCTTAATAGAACGTTGCGGCAGAAACTAGGATTCACGTGGGTGGGAATTTACACACGAAATGTTAATTACGTGTGAGATTACCTGGCTTTTCGAGTAAACCTACATATGAATTTGCACAAAAATGAGTGTCAAATAAAGCATAAATAATGTATTTTCATATACGATTATAAGAAAGTTTGCTTTTTTGTCGTATTTCTTCAATAAGAAAATTGAGGGTCAAAAAAAGTTATAACATCAGCAATCTTGGACTATAACATCGAGGGCGGAAAGATCAATGTGAATCTTGTTTGTGACATTCACATAAATAAATTCTTCTTAATAGAAATATCTTAGTTTGATAAAGCAAGCTTGACTGCGATTTCAAAAACTTGAAAGCTTGAAGGTTAAAGGTGAAAAGCTTGAAAGGTTAAATAAAGATGTCATTGAAAGTATCCACAATTTTAATTATATCATTATAAATATGTGGAATAGTCATGAGTATTGTGATCAATATTACTTTATAAATTGACAAGTTGATAATTTTAAAGAGAGGATTTAAGCAATTTACCCTTCTACTAAATCTATTGCTCTTAATAATTAATTGTAATCATATTTTTTAATTAAAAATAATCATTAATTAATGAAGAAATAATGAAGAATTTTTTCTTTATTAATATATAATAATAATAATAATGCATAAAAAATTAATTCAGCTAGCGATCAAATATTACTTTAGTTTAAAAATGTAAGGTACCTATAATAATGAAATTGTCAAATATTTAACCAACAATATTTGTAACTTTCAGAATTTGGCAGGAACGTATTCTGTGTTCTTTGTGTTCCAAAAATACACATATATATTTTTAATATACATAAAATTAATTTATTAATTTATTTATAACTAAGATAAGTAAATTTTTAATTTATATAATACATTAAAAAGGAGAGAAATATAATGATATTATAACTATATGTATATTTTGATTTTATATTGTTTTAATAATAATTTATTTACAGTACAAGTTAAAAATTAATTTTAATTGTGAAATAAATTTCAAAAAAAATTTTTTAATTTTACACAAACATTTTATTCTTATTTTATATTAAGTTCAAGGTTTCTGATCAAACCTTTATTTATTTTAATATATCTATAATTACAAAATCTCAAACTTATAGGAAACATTGTATATTTCTACAATCACGTAAAGATGGTACTTTCTGTCTTTATAATTTTGTTTAAAGCAAACGATAAATATAGCAGGAAAAAGAAGGCTGCGCCAGTCTAAAAATGAAACGAGGGTCACCGTCTTGTATTTCGTAGCAGCGTGAATTTCGTGACAATGCTATTGTTTCGCTCAAATTTTATCGCATCTCAAAAATTGTATTCGTTACATGATTTATTACACTGTTTTGTAAATTTGCTGTATTTTTTTGTATCAAAAGCAGTTTAGAATACTTATACGTGACGCGTTGCACTTTTGCGACGCCATCGAACCGAATGTGGCAGCGCGCCAACCACTTGTCGAGACTTATCCGGGTATTCACCCTACTTTTGATACACGAAATACAAAGATATAGTCGATACCGAGTGCTGCAGCAGCCCTTTGAAACAGCACAGCAAAAATGATTTTACGTTCATTATAACCAAGACGTTGCAAAGAAGAGAAAGAAAGAAAAGAGCGATTTCATAAAATAAGAAAACTACTTTAGTATTTTGTTCAACATTTTGTTAAAAATAACAATATACGATATAATAACGATAAACAATACGATATAAAAATTTAAAATATTGATAATCTTAACTATTTTAACGAAAATATTATATAAAGAGATTATATAAAAATTGTCAAGGACAATATTACAATATTGTTATTGTTAAATTAATTTTTAATGAACAAAATTCCATTCATTTTATAGTGATATACTCTTTACAATATTAAATATCTCTTTTCGCAAAAATGATTTTTTATTATTAAATATTTTATTAATTAATCAAACAAAATATTTTAAAATAAGCTATATTTTTAGATTTTTAATTTAAAAATAATTCTTTTTGCTCTGTAGATTTTTATTTATTGAGAGCTCTTTTATGATTAATTTTAAATTTAAACACAAATTACAAATTAAAGGGTCTTTAATAGTCAAAAGTTTTTACGTGAAGTGACTGATAAAAACAAGATGAAATGCTATTAAGCTTTATCGACATTTTATCGAAAAATTGGAAAATGATGAAATAATTCATCAACTTATATATTTGCAATAAATAAAACACGATTAAGATGAAGAAAATGTTGGAAAATGTCTATCGTCAGATTTCCGAGATACAATAAAGTCAATTTTCTGAATTTTTTTATTCAGCAAAGTAAAAACATGTTGCAAAAAGATGCAAAAGAGCAATTAATCAGACATTTTTATAGAGAGATATTTCATACGTTAATTGTAAATTAATCAAATATTTTTATAAATTAATTGAATAATTAGATTAAAAAATATCTTTATAATTTTATGTTAATTCATTTTCTTTATAATTACAAATTTTTAATTAAAAGTATGAAAGAAAAAATAGGATTGAACATGAGAGATATATCTGTTATTGCATTATGTATTATAAATATTGTATAAAGTTCTATTTTTGTATAATATATATGCCGTTTTGCAGTGAAGAGAATCGATGAAATTAAAGTAACACTCGTGCGATTAAAAATATCAATTACAAGAAAATGGATTTCTTAAGGACTCTTATAGAAAGCATACAGATCAGAAACTCTTGCAATTTCCTTCTATTAACTACAGCGCTATTTAATTTCTGCTGCAGCGAAGAGTTTACCTTGATCATAATAATATTTTTTATTTTCACAATGTCTTTATTTCTACAATATTTTAATAATAAATTGTAAAATTATATATTTAGTACTACTAATATTTATATATTTTTTAAATATTTAAACTTCATAAAATATCACAATTGAAAATAATGTTTTTTACAATATTTTATAAATTTACAATTAAGAAAATTAGAAAATTATAATTAAAATTGACATATTTTGGCATATATTAAATAGTTTCGCAATATAAAATATTATCTGTTTATTAAAGATTTTATTTTTATTACAGTTTTTATCTTTCAGTTTTTATCTTTCACATTAGATTAAAATGTATTCTTGAAAATGTTGAAATGTGTTATTTCTATTTTTTATTTCATATTAATTTCTACCGCTGCAGATTGAATCAATTAATATTAGATTTCAAATATAATTTGATTTTACATGAATAGTTCACATTACATGTTAACATAAACGATACTCATAACTTTCTGAAGCCACGTTATATTAGCTAACTGGTTTATTTCTTAGTTAAATATATAAAACGGTTTTTAAAGTTAATTGAACATAAATATTTTTTGAGATGTTAAAGGTGTATGATAACTTTTAGAAATTGGTTTATAATATTCTTGAATTCTAAATAAAATAATTAAAATTTAACCAATCAATTTATTATTATATAATATTAAAATATAAATAGCAAACAATAAAATTTTTAAAAATTCGACATATTTCTTCTTGCGTTTATGTTATAAACATTAGAGCTTTGAACAAACTTTCATCAAATTTTAAATTATTAGCGAAGCGTTATAAGACTTGATGTAAGCTAGTTATCAAATCGAAATAAATAAGTTAAGTTCTTTTGACGTATGTTTCTTACGTAGTATATCAGTAGTAGGAAATCTTCAAGATACATTTAATCAATATGTTGTCAACCTTTCATCATAAATATGCGATCTTGGATTTAAGTAAACCGTATATGTCACGAGAATTGATTAAGATATTCTTCATCTTCGAACGTTTGACTCAATGTGTTTACACTTGTAACTCTTTCGAATGGAAAACACAAATAATAGATTAAAAACAACATGGTATTACATCAAGTAATAATTATAAAAAATTATTAATTATAAAAAATAATTTTCTTTATAAAAAGGTAAAAAATTTTTATTTCGCATAATTAATTCCTAAGATAGAAAATTATTTATTCTAAAATTGATATTCGTAAAGTTGTTCTTATTCAAAACCAAGTAATTGTTGATACGGTTCTGATTATGACATTTTAACTCTAGATCGCCATACGATGTACCCAGTTTGATTTTTCACATTGCTATAACTTTTACAATGAAATTTTTTTAAATCATTATAATTGGAACTTGAAAATAAAGTATTTTCAAGGCTTGATTTTTCTTTATCTGTCTTTATCTTACTCTGAAGTATCGATTTCACGTTGCGAGCTAAAAAATATACCTTCAGTTCAGAGATATAGCGTGACAAAGTTATGGGGTTCTACAAAACCTCGGTGTGGCGGGTAACTAAAAATAGGTGTGGCTAGTGAGTTAAATTTGCTCATTTTATATATCGATAGTACAAAAAGTGTAATGCAAAGCCCCTCGAAAATCAATATTCCTTTGGTCCGAATGACACGGTAACACCGTTGACATTACAGGACAATTGTTGATGGCGCGCAGGGGTCGTCTCGCTAGCATCTGCGACCCCGCCGGCGAGATGATATGTAAGCCACCCTTATACATACATACATACGAGACTCTTTTATGTGATGCAAATATTTAACGCGAGACCGTATGTGCGTCCTGCAATGCAATGTAGCTTCAAGATAGCTTCTTATCTTCATAGAGCTCACGTGTTTGTAGTTTACATCACACGTACAAAAACATCAGAATGAGATCACGAACGCGTGACGTTTTTCATTGAGATTACATCTCGCGAAGATAATAATTTTTATTAGATTTTAATAATGTAACACGTTCCGACGATAATGTCAGATGCTCGCGATAATCATGTCATATGCATCGACGTTTATCGGATATAAGTAGCTTGTATATCGCGCAGACGTCGCCTTGATTCGTTGATTACATAAACGCGATTGTATTTAATGTGCCGAACGCATTTGTACCTAAGTGTACCTCGCCAGGCGCTGCAAGGCGCGCGAGTTCGCAAACTCTACACATGTTGTATGCGAATTACGTATCACCGAGGTATAATGTCCGGTTATGCAATTCGCTGACTGCGATAAATATTTACAGCGTTTGCGGGACGTACGGACGGTACCGAAATTTGTCGGTGCACGACACAACACGTACATTATTTCAGAGGAGGGTAAGCTATTTTCCGCGTTCGCGGGGATACAAACGAGATTGACAAAAATGTTGCAGTAATAACCAAATAAATGCATGCGCCCGCGACACAATTGGGTATCTTTAGAATTTTGTGATATTATTATGTTTGTGAAATAACAGAGAGTTGCCTCGGAGATTTGTAATAATTTTCATATCTCTGTATTTTTGCGTTTTGGAGCGCTTTAAAGTTGGGATACACAAGAAACGACAAAAGAAGTTATTCACAGATTTAACATCAAAATAAAAATAAATATAACGTTTAAAATACAATATCACGAAAAATATTTTCACGTATAAATTTACTCTTTAATCCTGTGATAGATCTCATAGGTCAGTACAAGTAATTGATTGATCTCAAAGTCCTCTTTACATCGGCGATAGTTATAAATAAAACAACAGGTCGGGGCTATGGATAGCTGCTTCTCCTGCCATTTATTTTATATAAAATAGTATTTTACCCAACTCTATATAACTTACACAACAGGTTACACAATCGTTTTAATCAAAAGATTTTTTATCTTTTTATTCTGCTTTCTATGTGTCTCTGAAAGAATCTTTCTAATGTGCATGCGTCATCTATCATGGCGTATACATGTGTTCATACACATACGTATATATACATATACATATATATATATATTTTATGCTATTTGTCGGTCAATCGATCAACGTCAACTTCCTTTCAGTCGCTTCGAAATTGACGCGGTCAAAGAGACGTTTCGGAAGCGAAATTCTGTCCCCCTTTTACGTTATACAAGTTTCATTGACATCAAGCCACGTTAAATACTTTTGTGTTGATATCCTCCAATCCTCTCCAGTCAAATCTTCTTTCCTGATCCAGTCACTCTGACCTCATATTTTTCTCATACATCCTAAATTTACAAAATCTTTATCCTGTCCCCGTTAATATTTTACTAGGAAAGAATCTAGTTTCTCTTTTATATACTACTTTATATACTATGTTTCTAGACACTACATTCATTCGCTCAAGAAATAAAATGCAACATGGCATGTTTTGGAAACTGATAGTTTACTTTTGTGCTTGCCTATCGTTCTCTGCACGTAAACAAGGATACAAGACATCTTAACGATTCATTGTTTATCTCTAATTAACAAATTCGCAAATTCTCTTTTAGAAATTGCTTCCAATTAATCTTTATCTGACGAACCGTGTACATAATGAAAACTCAAAGCCAGAATTGTCTGCTGTTATAATATCAATACTGTATGTACTTTGCATTCGTCAACTTTCTCAATCGCACTTAACTGAAGCGATGTCATTTTAAACAAATTTCTTATCTATATTATATTTGACGTATATTCTGATAAATGTACATCCTTTGTATATGAATATTGTACATACTCTCGCATATCTTCGTCTCGAAAATGCGAAAATCGAAATCGGTGACTCACGTAGCATTGCACAATTGTTTAGTCACTCCACCAGCCCAGAGAGTACAGTTTATCCTCGGCGAGGAAGTCGGTGACGATGCACACGAATCGCATCCGCTCTTCTCGGAGATGGAAGAGCTCGTCAAGGATGGCGACGAAATGGAATGGAAGGAAACAGCGAGGTAAAGTTCGAATTGCAATCCCACCTCGTTGGGTTTAATCTTTGAAAATGCGGGAATATGTTTGCGGATGGAAACGGATGGCTACGCATTGAAACCGTCGGCGGATTCTAGATATAATATATTTCCATCAAAATAATGTTGAATTCTCTCATTTGTACGTGCAATACAGTGACAATACGTATTATAATACAAGACAATTTCTATCTTTTAAATACATCAAAAGACTGAGCCAAAATATTAATGATAGCATAAAATATTATGATAATCTTCTTCTTCCTTCTATATTATAATAATGATAATTCTTCGAAACAGATCAAATTCATTTAAAAATAGAAAAGGAAATTAAAAAAAATTAAACTTTTAATATAAAAAAATTAAAAATGTTTTTTTCAAAAATTATATATTTTCTAAATATTTTATTTAAAAATTATATATATAGATGGATCAAGTTTGAAGAAGATGTCGAAGAAGGTGGCAATAGATGGAGCAAACCTCACGTTGCCACTTTATCACTGCACTCTCTCTTTGAATTAAGAAGCCTCCTTTTAAACGGAACCATCATGCTCGATATGGAGGCAGCCAGTTTAGAACAGATAGCTGATCTTGTTCTCGATAATATGATCAATAAAGGAGTACTCTCAGTCGAGTTACGAGAGAAGGTAAGCAAACGAATGTCATTAAAATAGCTGTCTTTTATTAAAATAGAAAAATTCTCGCGATATCTTTGGATTGACCGCAAGTACATATATAACACATTTTATCGTAACATATATATATATATATATACAAAATTCATTCATCTTGTTATATCTCATTGTATAAGGTTACAAAGATAACGACGTCATTGGACATCTGTTACCAGGAAAAATTCATTATTGATTTAACGATAACTATAAGATTTATAATAAGATTTATAATTTCTACCTCTATACTTATTCCCGTTATTTCTAATTTGAATCAATACTTTGACATATCAGCCACACGTGCACATTTAAACCAATCGATCAAACAGTATTAATATCATTTCAGGTGAGAGAAGCCCTTCTCGTCCGACATCGGCATCAACACGAAAGACGTAAAGACAATAATATGTCGAAGTTACCGATCATAAGATCGTTAGCTGAGATAGGACGCAACCATTCCTCCTCAAAAAGTAAGTTTCACATTACTGCGTCGTCTCAGTGTCGGTAAATTACTTTTTGACAGGTTGCCGATGGCTCTACACAAATAATGTACATACTTCTTAATGTCAGGCACATGGATCACAGATCGCTCAGAAACACAGATTGTCTCAACGTGATTTGCACCACCCCGTTTATCTCTCAACGTGCGCGCGCTTTTGCTTACTTTCTCCTTTAAGCTTTTTTATTTTATACTTACATTTAATTTATTATTTCTTCTAATTCCTCCTATTTTCTTATTTTCTCATTTCTTATATTTTCTTTCTTATTTTTATATAATAAATTATTTAATCTAATAAAAAATAATTAAACAAAACGACCTTTTCGTTTTATCATAACTTTTATTTATTTAAATTAATATATTAATACATTATATTTAATTTATTATTTTTCTTAATGATCCGAAATAAATTTAATAGGTAAATTATAATAACAAATTTTTAAGTTCAAATTCAAATTAAAATCGATTTTTTAAGTTTGTAATTATAATCATTTTGCTACATTGATTTAATTTTTCTTTTGTTAATCTTCGATATTTTGGATCGTTAGGGTCTGCTATAATTTAAGCTAAATCCTAATTTAATTTAAATCCTCTTAATTTCTAATCCAATTTTGTTTTTATTTTCACCTGCATTTTCGTTGAAGACCACCTCGGTGGCGGTGGCGAGACGAAAGAAATCGGGTCCTAAGGCGTGGCTAATTTTGTAAAAACACGTACGACACAATCGACATTTTCAGATTGCGACTGTTCATGTGGTATGCATGCCTTGTTGACGTCAGATTTGCAGGAGCGTCGTGATCCGAAGGACACTTACGTACCCTCCGTCGCCCGCAGCAGCAGCTGCCCGAACTCGAACACGGCTCCGCTGTCGAAAGAGGCGAAAGACCTCAAAGGGCCGTACCTTCTAGTTCCAGGTACAACTTAGGCCAGTTGATCCGCTAAGCAGCCTTGGATTGCGGTGCTTTCGTCGCTTTACTAATCACACCCCCCAACGGAACAAGCCACTAACAATTACTACATGCGTGTATCAATTGCTTCACAAATTCTAGGATGTTTTTATTGCTGATGAAATTAAATGGTATTCAAAGGTATTCGTGAATCCAATTATGTTCCAACTTTGATTTGTAATTTGATAATTGTAAGTTGAATAAACTTACAATTTGTAACGAGGTATAGAATCGTTAGAAAGTTTATTTTATTATTATATGTTTAAATTGATCACTATATAACGACGACATTTTTTTTTATTTTGATTAAAATCTTGGAATAACAATTTAACGAAAGTATTATGAATCTGGGAGGCAAGCGATACTTTTAGCTATAACTTAGTACCATTAGATTGTGTGTCATAGTGTGCGCCGATCAAGCGAGGATCAAAATGATCTCGATTGTCGCTGGATCCGTCCGCGATCTATTGGATTTACAAGCCATGGTTATTCCCCAACTGCCTGATGTTTCTTGGTGATTGTCTTGCTAATTGATTGTCAATGTGGAATACTTGGCATCATCAAGACTACACATCGCCCTCATCGAGTCATCCTCTTCGTACTCCGAAGCTCAAGCCGGTCAAAAATTTGTAACTTACCATCGCTTTTTTTTTCTTTTATCAGACGAATTTGGCATACCCCACGTGGTGGGATTCACAACGTGGTTCGCGATGTGTCCGCTAAAAGGTTAGCTCGTCAGATGATTTACTCTCTCGATTCTACGAATCTGCACAAAATTCTACTTCACACTTATCTTTCGTCTACATTAAAGTCTCTTTTCTGCCTTTCGTGTCTTATCACGTAAACTTATGATTGATCACGTGACAAAACTTATTCTAATCTCTCGTCGATCCTATCTCTCCTACTATTTCAACTATGAAACTCATTGAAACTGTAATTGTTTTTTTTAATTGTAATGCACAAGAATTTCAACTATAAGGACACAGCACCATTTAACATCCTTCTCGAAGTAAGAATTTCGAGCAATCTGACAGAATTCACGTTGTAGAGAATTTTATAAAATAGCGATTTTTTTTACATAATATTTTTTCTTTTATATTCAGAGTAATTTATAAGGAAATTTCCTGTAAACATGTGTCCTTATTGGCGAGAGTTGTAAATGTCAATGACATTGCAGCGAATAAGGTTTCATCTATTATAGCCATGACTGCTGTGATCGATTCTACCTCTCAAATATATCCTGGTCGCCCTTAGTACTCACCGAAATGGATTACAATTGCTAATCTTATGCGGTACAGCAACACGAGAAGTGGATTGTGGTTATCTAGCGTGATCTGTATTCTCACTGGCATTAAATGTGGCTGTCTAATTGTCCTCTATTACTCCAATACTGAATATCACCTTTCGATTTAGACAAGCGAGATTGGACAGCGATATTAAATGCACGATGAGAAAACGGAGAATTTTTAAATGCAAATGACGGGTTTACCTCCTATCGTACGTGACATTACTACGATTCATCCATCGCGGTCTCATTATCCATTGATCAACATGCACGTTTCTTCGTTGACATCGTAGGCCGACGTTTATAATTCCGATCATAAGGCATGAATCTTTCATTGTAATCGTGTATAGGTGCACGTAACTCGATGTAAACCCTGTCTACTGTATATTTCTTATTCCATTGTGCATTTATACCTCTCAGTGTTATAATTGACTAATCTTTTTTCAATGTCCTAATTAACTAAGTTAATCCATTACCCTTGTAATTCGCGAAGAAGGATAAATAAAAGTGATTCTTTTAATTCCATATTTTGTAACCTGATATGTTCTATTTATATAAAACGCAAAAAGATAAATGTTGAAAAGATAAATGTTGTTTATTATAACTAAAGCAATTAGCAAGTCGGGCGTATCTGCGATCAATGCAAAATTACGTTCTTGCAAATATCTTTCTTAATCAACGAGGAACTTCGTTATTAATACGTATTTTCTAAGTGTCAGAAATTCGCCATAAGCCGTTTGAGTTTCGTGGCTGCCGCGAAACTTGCTGACAAATATATGAAAATGAAGCATTAAAGCATCAACAACACGGCGAAAATAATCGTACGATAAAAAATCGCGCAAGGAAATCTCACGTTGTATTTATCATCGCCATGTGCGTCTCTGTGATATTTCGCGGATTTTCTATAGTAAAAATAGAAACAATTGCGTGCATAATTTTTCCCCCGTGGTAACATTACAATCAGTACGTGTACAGGGAATATTCCGGACTATTTGAATTGTTTGTTCGCACGCGACAATTTCCTTCCAAACTGAATTTTGCAGATTGAAATTAATCGTAGGTATGCCAACGAGGCAATTACTTTTTTAACTTACGAATATTCTGCATTTCGCTGAAGGATTATTTAATTATCTTTATATGAAATACAATT